ACATAGCGAATATGAGAACTGCTGCTCGACGTCGCGAAATCACCACGCAAACCGTGGTGAAAGCTTTATTTAAACGGATGGATCAAGACGAATTTACTACCGATACGAAGCGGATCCATAATCCAACAACTACTGTACTTGTTTTTGGCCCACCCCTGACAGTCTTGAAATGGATTGCGCCTACAAAACGAACTAGTACAAGTTGCCGTTGTTCAAAATTATCGCATTAACTGGATTCCACACTGTGCTACCTGTAACCCAGTGCTGGCTTTCCAGAAAAAAGAAGAGGACTACATATGGGCAATGAACACGCTACGGACCGTTTTGGATGAAATGAATATTGCTTTCCCAATTGTCGCTCTTAGGTATAGAGAACTTGCCTCAATGAACGCGGTGGACAGCGTTGTTCCTGGCAATCCCTCCCTCTTGTGTAAATTACATATATGAACAAGAATGTCATTCGTAAAACACGCCAAATTTTGGACAGGTTTTTGATCCTAATCCTGCTCCGGGTCAGGCTAAATTCGAAAATGCGTGGCAGCCTGAGGCATTCATGACGGCCTTTTATGAAACAGTGGATGCCAGAACCGAACAGGATTTTGAATCAAGACGCCAACGGCTTTGGGATTGAATGTGCGACTATCCATTTATCTGGATAACCACTGGTGGAAGTACAAAACTCGAATTATCCGAGCTGGGACGGTTCGCTGCAAACATTTCGGCGTTGTGATCCGTGCTTTGTCGAAGGTGCTCATGCTAAGCGCACAATTTGGCTCCGAGGTTGCAGAAGTGATCGCTACACTGTATACTTACGACTACTGCTGTGATGGCAATCTTCTGCGTCTTCTACAAGTTTCCCGGCTGAGCGGAAGGCCGCCCATATTCGTACCTCCTTCACGGGGACCATTTTGCTGGGGGGTTTCGTGTGATTTTAGTGCGGGCACTCCCAAAAATACACAAGTTGTGGCAAGAAGCAAGATAAATTGTCTACACTAGAGCTGACCGTCGTGCTTGTACAGGCACTTTCCGGGTGGTGCATGGCCGCCCGTGTGTACACCAGCTAATTGAACTCACGGTGTCCAACAAAAGACATCTCCCCCCTCTCCAGACGCGAGCCGAGTCTTTTCAAGCGTATCGATTTATATCGCCCTGCCCCCCACCCCCCACCCCCACCCCTACTCATCAAACCCAGATTTCAAATTCATGTGTTGTGTCGCTCCCTCCCCCAACGAATTCGCTTCACAACACTCTAATAGATCCGACTAGCATAATATTCATCCACGCTATTGGACGTCTACCAATAATAGTGTAAGCACCCGCCATATCTGCAGTCGATAAACTCGACTTAGACAAGATATAAGTTGATATACCAGCGCTAGCGTCTACCACAAATGTATTATTCCAGTTAAGTCTGTCCCGACGTAAGTGTCCCTACTTCTACACTACACGAGATTTGCAGTGTACCCACCACGTCTAACAGAACAATGCCTTTGTGGATCTTTCCGCTTTCAATCAGTAGCAGTTTGGCGCGAAACTCGGATCAAGAATGGACGGCGATATTGTGTCTACTGCGCTGTTGCTGTGTTTGGACGAAGCGGTCACCAACCACGACAAGAAGGTTGCGGAAGCTCAGCAGGAGGTCTTCCAGCTCCTGATTGAAGAGACCTGGAAGGTGGCAATGCGCTCGCAGCACTACCTGACGGTACGGTGCCTTGATAGGCCTACTGAGTCAGCTTGGATGGGGCTATACGCGTTTGGCGACGACAGGAACGTTTTAAACACTACGAGTTCGACGAGGCACGTGGCTACTTGTCTGTCGATGAGGTTAGAAGTATGTACTAATAGTGTACTCTTTGTGCAAACTGCAGATCGGCGTTCTCCCAGCTCATACAACGCTTCTCGCTGTTCTATCGTATGCCTTCTCCATCTTCCTGAGGCCGACCGCCAAAACTGCGATACCTTCACCAAGTTTTGGTCATCGTGCTCTGCTATTACACCAGTTCGGCGGTGAATAGTACCATTTGCATGTTGTTTGGATTGCCTCCCAGCACATTGGCGCGTACACTACGGAAAGCCGAGAAGGCTTTGGCTGCAGCCCTGAAAGGGTATCCACCCGCTCGCATTGCGTGGCCGTCAGCTCCTGAACAAGCAGAACTTGCGCGTCTAGTGGAAGCACGAGAACCACTGCTGAAATACACGTTTGGGTTCACCGATGACAAAAACCTCCGGGTGAGAACAACCGTATTCTATACTTTGTATTATCATGTTATCTCATCGTATCTATATACTACTGTAGGTGATGCAGCCGTCTAACGCAGATTTACAAAACGCCATGTACAATGGCTGGCTTCACGCAGTGTTCGTCACGGGGACGATCTGCTTCGCAGCAAACGGCTGCATCATCTGGAGTCGGCACAATTGTCCGGGCTCGTGGAATGATGCTGACACGTCGCTCGGATTCCGCAACAAGTTGTTGAGCCACAAGTACCGCCCAGACCGCCGGATGAACGTAGTGTCCGAATCTGCTTTCCCCTGTTCAGCAGCGATGACAGGGCGCATTCTCACGCCGCTTAAGGACGGTGACATCGACCGTATTGCCCCATCACTACGTAGCGCAGCTCGCACAATGCACAACGCGATAACCTCCGTTCGTCAAACAGCGGAGTGGGGAATGGGCAGCATCCAGAAGGTCTACAGCAGACTCAACCTTCCGCTGCCCTACGACCCCGAGCTCCGAGGCCTGCAAATCAGCAACATGTTCCGGTTAGTGAACTTTCGTGTCCGTACGGTCGGAATTTCACATATCCGCACCACATTCAGTGGAGACATGGAGATGCCTTTGTCGGCGGAGTAGGTTGTGGAGATGAGTTGCTGTATTTTTTCGAGTTAACCGAGACTTACTGTGAGTTGAATGCTGGATATGAAAAAGTCTCGGTACGTCTGGATGATTCGGTTGTTTGTCAAAGCTCGAGCGCACAGCTTTTTGGTTGATCGGCTTTTTCTTCTGCTTGTGTCCAACGGCACGGTGTACGACCGATAGAAGATAATATTCCTCAGTTCGACTCCCCTGGTGATGACCTACGTCGACTTGGTTAAGGCTCCGATCAACATTGCGAGCTCCTGCATGCGAGCTCTGGCATCTTCTCTGTCCACTGGGTAACGTCGGCGATCCAATGACCGCTGAAGTCATCCCATAGACGTAGCATGTTCTCGAAGGGATTTGGCCGATATTCGAAATGAAACTTGAGAGAGGCAAGATTTGAATTCAAGTTTTTAGATCCACCATAAACAAGATCACTCTTCATATACGTAACGATTTAAGCACATCTACTTTGTGCACCAGCTAAATGTCGATCGATGTGATCGAGTCACTGCGAACGAAACTGGAGCGCTGATCTCCGCAAGAGCGTTGCTGTCACGCAAGAGCGCTTCAGTCACTGACGAGGGAAGCTCAGTGGTACCCAAAGCCCCAAGCATTTATGCAAAATACAGAGGGGTATTTGCATGTGCGCCGACCATTCTTGTAAAACCCAGAGAGTCAATCAAATTTTTTATTTAGCCCTGGTAACATTCACTGGGTTATTGGGTTATGAATGTTGCTCCTGGCCGACACAAGCAACATTCACCTGGGTAATTCTAAGTGTGTAGAGGAAATTTAGTACAGGAGGTAATTATAACAACCTTTGTATGGTGAAGAAATTACATCTCTAGCTAGCCCACCTAAATTCAGAGGAAATAGCACCACTTTGGCTTAGTAAATCCATGTGATTCGCTGATATCACAGGCATATCGAGTCATACAGTAAAACGCCGACACAAAGAGAGTGCAAGCCTTTTTTTTTAGTATTAGAAATAAAGAAAGAGAGTTTTTTTAGGCAGAATCGCACCTCTGCTAAAACTCTGGATATAAAATCCACAGAATATCGCGAGCGAAGCGAACCGCTGCTGGTCACTTATTTATTTATTTATTTATTATTTATTGGTGCTCTTCTAGCTCACCTAAAATGGTAATGCACCTAAATTTAGGACATTTTGTAGACACTTCAGTGTTTGCAGGGCATTTTGTAGGACGTAGATGTAGGACATTTTTTTGGATGCAGGACAATTTTTCTGGTTGCATTAAATCCATTCAAATTGATACTCTCTGATGAAGCCACGCTAACACTACCGAAGGACATCTCCAATGCAAAATCCAGGTTATTGGCGGCAAAAACTAATGTTCGACGCTCTGGTTGAGCTTTTGAAGAAACTTGAATATCACTACTCGTACGACGTCGACCAAGAGACTGATCGACTTCGATACATTATGTGAGATCAAAGCACTCGCTAAGCACTTCATGGACTTGTTAATGGTCGACCGTACGAACAAACCAACCGCTACAACATGCTACTGGTGAATGTTATTTTACTAACCAACATGAATACTATCCTACCATTTGCTCAAATCTTCGTACATGGAGAAAAAGATGAACCGGATGTCATTTGGGGTTTTAACGAGCTCAAAAGTTTGACGATAACGACCGATGTGCCTCTAGCTCGCATCGCTGTCACAGGTCGCGATATTGCCTGCACAAATGCAGCTTTTCCAGAGAGCGACATGATGCTATGTCGCTGGCACGTCAAACGCAATGTAGAAGCCCAGGACAAGAAGAAAATCAGCAACAACTCCAAGCGTTCGCTGGCAGTGGCCAAGTTTGTAGACCAGTTCGAACAGGCTTTTAATTAGGAAACAAAAGAAGAGTTTAATGAGCGAAATGCTGGGCTTCGCAGATCGAGCGAAGCTATGGGGGAATATTTGGATAGACGCGGGTGGCCTTACAAAACTAAGTTTGTAAAGGGTTGGACAAAGAATTACGCTCGCTTCGGATGCTGCGATACCTCCACAGTCAAAGACACCCTCGCGACCATGAAGTCCTGGATCAACAACTCACGTGGAGATCTCCTCACTGTTTTTCAGCAAGTCCACCCGCGGTGGCTGTGCGCTGTCCCCCGTAATTCGATAAGTGCTGCAAAGGATGCAGCTCAAAACTTAATCTCAGATCGCCATAAGTTATACAACTTGTGTCTCTATATTCTTTCTCTGGATGGTGGCTCCAGTTTGGACGCTTCGTAGATTTTCCCCACAATCAAACCGTCGTTATGTCTGGTTCTTCTTCCAACCGTGGAGAAATCTCACCTGAAGTCAGGCGGTATCATGCAAAACTTAAGACGCGGCACTCGCTTTTTTCTTCAACGTGATGAACTAGGGTTTATTAACTTATCAACTCAAGTACTTCAACGTGATGAACTAAAGCTTATCATGCATTGACCCAAGTGCAACTCAATCAAAGCATGTGTGAATTTACGTAGTTCATCATACAACTGAGAAGAGCACATCAGCCCCAAAAATCTCTCGAAGGTGATCAGTGGGCAGTTGCAGGACCTCCAAAATCGCAGGCATAGTAGCAAAACTGGCCCTATTGGGGCATGCAATATGCACACTCCAACGTCTCGGTGCACTCCATACACCAAATGCAGATGAGAGAAACAGCACATTTCAAAAAACCCCTATTTGGAACCAACAAGGAATGGCCAAAAAAGAACCTTTTTTTTATTGCTTTTCTAATGACCATCACTCACGACTCTTATGTTTTGACCACACTAAATCCATCTTCACGCTGATTTGTTAAAATGCGACAAATTGGCAACCGCACTGTTTGTTTTGGTCAATCTGCGTCACTTACTTGCCAACACTCCGCAGATCTGCCGGAATGACACTCGCAGCGACGTTAACTCCACTCGTTGCAGCCTCGGATGAGGAACTAGAGCGCTATCTCCGTGATGCCGACACGCTTCAGCAGATTTTGCCGCTTCTTGACGACTTTTTCACGCGTGGGACGGCGCTACAGACGCGTGGCCAGGACGACGACGAAGCGGCCAGATCACTGTCAATCGCCAGTCACACTGTGTTCTTGCTGTTTCTGCGGCTAGTGGATGCACCACAGCTATTACAACTGGCAACTGACTGTGGTCTGCTGCATGTGACGCGCCTGGCCCCCTTCTGTCAGCTCTACGGCGTCAAGAATGCGGAGGCTGTGGGCGAGCTGTTAGACAACGTTGTCGATAATGTTGCTGCATTTCCGACAACTCTGGGCGTGCTGCGGCAACTTTACATTCAGCAACTTAACGACCTTCACACTGCAGTACAGCAGGCTAAGCGTAACCAAGTGACGGATCTGATTCATCGTTGCTTGGATCTGAGTCTATCGCTGCTAGGTATGACGGCGTCCACTTCGATAACGCACTTGCTACTACTGAATGGCAAGGAAATGGAGACAGAGCTGGCGATACAGAGCCAATCAATACTCTACGCTTTTGTCCATTGCTACGAGGCGTCACTACCAACGCTACAGCGTCATCTGTCGACTTTCGACGACAAGGTGAAGACTCTAAAGAGCCCAGTGATCGCCGAGACTAGACACGCACTGTTGCGGATACTAGGACGGTGTGTAGACGCTGTAATGGACCAGCAACATAAGACAGGGTCTAGTGGAGAGGAATTACTGGCTGGACTACACGCGCTGAGCAACGGATGCTTAGACGACGGCGCTGAACATGGCTCGTACCTGAGTGATCTGTGGTACTTGTGCGAGTACAAGGACAAAGTGTCGGAGTTCTTTGATCGCTGTAAACTGGATTTAGAGACTTTTTCGTACCTGGATATGGTGATTGAGCAGCTTCCGCGACGTCGTATTCTGTCAATGTTACTGGAAGACGATCTCGCCGCAGAGACCAAGGCAAACACGACGCTCTCTGCTGATGCGAAGGAGTGGAAAGCATCCGAAGTTGAAGAGAAGAAGCCCGTGGATTTAGCTCCAATGGTGAATCAGGTGAAGGATTTCTTCCCGAACTTGGGTGATGGCTACGTGGAGCTTTGTCTCTTGAGTTCGAATCTACAAGTGGAGGTTGCAATCAATTTCCTATTGGAAAATAACCCGCCGTCGGTGTTGATTGACGTACCTCACGATTTGAAACGTTCAGATTCTAAATTTTTAGATTTAGAAACACAGATCACGGGTAAGTCAGTGCAGGCTGAAGAGACAAAGAAACTTGACCCTAGTCGTGTGTGGGTGGGGAAGAAAGCGATGGAGAAGACGTATGATCCTCAAATCGCGAAGAAGGATCAACAACTGGTTGAGAAGATGAAGCAGCTTGTTGTCATGTACGAGGAAGAGGATGAATACGCGATGCCGAGTGGTGACAGAGAGGACGGAGTGACGACACTAGACGAGTACGACGACGATTACAACGACGAATTCGACGACTTTGTGCCCTTCAGTGTCCGCGGTGGAGGCAGTGCCGACGACCAGGACGCAATTCGAGAGCAGAACCGTAGGATCCGCGCACAGGAGGAGAAGGACGCATTCTGGGAGAGCATGAAGAACAGAAATCGTGAAAATCCATTGAATGTGGCTGCAGATGAAGAAGAGAAGGAATATGGCTCTGGTGATAATGGTTCTCGCCCTAATTATACTGGAGTCTCGCAGAATTCATCAGGTCCAAAGCAGAAATCTAATCGACGGAAAAATACGCAACAAGGCGAGAAGAAACCAGACGAAGCTCCTACGTCGCAGCAGATACAGCGTCAACGAGCTAGAAAAGACAAAAACAAGGCCAAGATAGCCAACCACAACCGAAAGGACCGTGCGATGAAGAAGATGGGTTAATCTTCAAAGGTTAACCTTCTCTAATGAGTGATCTTTCTGGGTTGTGCTAGAAAAACTGTTTAACAAAACCGAGTTTTTAAATAAGTACTCAGTACTGAAGTTTAGTAAGTGATACGACGAAGTCGCTGTACCATCCTGACCTTCTCGCGAAGGCGCCTACGCGCTGCACGCTCTGCATCGTGCACGTGAGTCAAGTCAGGATTCAAGTAGATGCTCGGAATGGGAAGTAAAACCTGCTGCGAGGGGACTTCGGGGAGATGAAGGCGTGGGAGTCTAGTCCTTGAAGACTCACTGTGCATATCGTCATCGTATCTCAGTCGCTTGTCTTCCAGAATTTGTTCTAGCCTCGTTTTGGTTGGACCTTGCTCGAAGCGAGAAGAATGATCGAACTCGTCACTTATCGAGGATCCCCAGTCTTCGCTGTTGCTCTCACTGTCGGTTTGCCCTCCACGAGCGGATGTAAGAGGTGGAAGACGTTCATTGTTCTGTGCTGTTGGCTCTGGGTCGGGTGGTGACAACAATGAATTTGACGATCGTGTCTTCCCTTTCTTCATAAGTGGTGTCCGAGACGCATCAAATTCTGGACCCGTTGCGTCGATCTTTTTGTTACTATCGAAATTCTGGGTACTATAGTCCTCGTCGGGAGGGGTTGGATCATCAAACGAGCGGATTTTATCTAACTCCGCAAACATCGTGATCCACTGCAGCTTGACATGGTCGTAGATGACCATAGTCACTCGTTCGAAGAGCTTGTTGAGAAAGGCGACGTATTCTGCCGCGCCGATATCGACGGTCCAGATGTCGGCCTATAAGTATAGAATAATAAGTCCTTACAGTTTTTAAGGTTTTTTCTGCAACTTACCACTTCAAATAGCGCCCCGAAGAAGAGCAGTTTGGACATGCTCTCGCCATCGATGGAGTCTTTTGCCCAGTCCTTCTCTACGATGTACCGTGCCTCACCAATGGAAAACTCACTGGGAGTAACCAAGGCTTTGTAAAACTTCATGAACACGTCCACGTAGTCATGCATTGGGATCGTCTCGCCTCCTTGACGTATACAAGGAAATGTAACCCAGAACCGTTCAATGGCTTTAAGTACACCCGGGTCTTCCATCAGTTTTTGACGCTTCAGCAGATTTTCCTCGGTATATAGACTGCGGTTGCCTTGCTTTCGATATGGGATTTTCTTTGGAGATACTGGGCTTGTGTAGGTGGTGTCAGTCTCGTACTTGAACAGAAGCTTCTCAGTCTTGCCCTGGCACATGACGTTGGTCTTGACCTTGGAGAGTTGAGGCACGAAGAATGGCACACCCTCCTCATAGGGCTTTGTGGCCGGTTTGTCACTCCGCAAAGATTGCGCGTATGCATTCAAGCTTGCCATTACTGACTCGACAATTCGTCGCGGAGAGGTATAGCTTCGATGATATGAGGCAGTTTTTAGACTGACAAGCGATCGCTCCTGCGATCAGACTATTCTTGGCATTGATCAGAATACCTGAAGACTGATGATCGTTGTAGCCACGCAAATATGGTAGAATAGCTATACACGAAGACAGCACTCCAGGACAGGTTGTTCATGCATCATACCTTTTCATCTTACCCGTTGTCTAAGATCTGAAAGGAGTCTACTGGTGAAGGGCTGGCGGTTTTTGCCAAAGCGTCTTGGAATATTCGATATTACAAGAAGAGCACTTGATAGGCATCCTTTCATATTTATTTTCCAAATTTGGGCAACTACATGCACAGCAGTTAACACTAATCGACTCATAAGTCCTCCATGATATGATATAATTTGATTATATCACTACTGAGAGGATTATCTGTCCCAACGCTCACACTGTTGGTAAGCTTCAAAGCCAAGGATAACGCCAGTCGGCGTGTGGCTTTCCCGCAATGTCTGCCAATGAGCTGCCAGTAAATAGTGGCTGTGCGGGGCCATCCAACTCGGGATCAGTCCCCAATCTGCTCTCTCGTGTACTGTATCAACTGATCACCGAGTAGGATGCACTGGATTCGTCTCGTATTGATTGTTGCGGTCTCCGTGGTTGCTGTCAGCAATGAGATTTCCGCCAATGCGAATGAGGTCACCGAGACAACTACAACGAAATCGACTTTGATGCATGACGCAGTTCCCAGCCTTCACGAAGCTACTCGGGAGCTGTCCGACGACGATGCTGCTTTAGAGGAAAGAAGAGGGGGCGGAGGAGGCGGTGGTGGAGGCGGCCAAGGAGTTGGAGGTGGAGCAGGCCATATTACCACAGGAGGAATAGAAGGGGGCGACTCAACAACAACAACAGGAGGCGGCGGCATAAGTAGACCCAACACGAGCATTGGGCTCATGAATACGAATGGTGTCACGAGTCACAAAGAGAAAAAATGCAATCGGTTCTTCAACTGGTGGAGGCGTCTCTTCGACAAAAGCATTCCAAAGTGCCCGAAGAAAACCAAAGAAGACAAGCGCAGACTTCGAGTATAGCCAGAAAGCCATTATAAATAATAAAGAAGTAATTCAGTCGATGCGTATCCGTTGTCTGGTTTCTCTTGTGACGGCTTTTCATACGTGAATGAGCAAAGAGTTCTTCGGTTCCCACTCCCAGTTCACGCAGACTTACACGTAGTAATACTCTAACTTTCTGACATGTACTGCAATTCCTGCAGTACTGTTGCAATACTTCATCTCGCCGCTACCACCTCAGCATTCCAAGTGAATTGGTTAATTTGAGAAGCAGTATTTTCTCGACGTCAGAAGTGCTCAGCTATCGGAAACACATTACTTGCCTGCTGCTGTTCCTTCGGACAATTTTATCCTAATCTAGACAACATTCATTAAAGAAATAATATAATGGGATACTAGTATTTTTTACTACTATTATTATAAAAAACAACAACAACAACTACTACTACTACTACTATTGTTTGTTGTAGTAGCAGAAGTAAATCAATTTAGTAATGTATTATATTAATTCAATTAGACGAAATGTTTTTAACACACATTTTCTCATACGATCAGGCTAAAAATCGACACTTGTTGGAGTCAACCAAGTATGCAACTCTCATTATCATAAATATGACTGCGCAGCGCTCTGTACATATTGATAACAAAAGAATAGTGGTCGATGTAGGGCCTTGGAATATGCAGTTATCAAGTTATGACCAGTAAAACTAAGGCTTTTCGCACTTTAGAGTGGTAGATCCGTATTTAAAAAAGTGTAAAAGGTTTCTTTCTATTCGGTCTTGGTTATTAATCAATAGAAAGCGGCAAAAAAACAACAATCTGACAGCATTGTACACCTCCGGAAACCTCGCCTGCAGCGTTAAAAACAAGAAGGGAAAATGCCAATTCGGGGCCGGTCCAAATAGTCTTTTCTAGTTTGCTTATATCTTTTGTTTTCAGATAAACTAACCAACACCAATGGTACCAATCAAAAGCTGTTTATTTTTCCTTGTTTTGAATAGGCAAAATTGCGGCAACACTCCACGAAGATCGCTCGATCAAAAGTCCCATCCGTATCGTTAACACCAGCAAACACAAGAACTGAAACACGAGCCTTTCTCTGACAGTCACAGCGAATTTCAACCTTATTCTTGCGAATCGAGTAGCCACGCGTTATTACCATGTCTCTATTATCAAATGAAACTTCGTCGGTAAACACAATGTGTTTCTGAGTCCATTTCACAATATTTAATTCCTCCACAAAACGGAAAATATCTTTCTTCTTGATGTGTAAAGCTCGCCGCTGTAAAGCCTTTCAAGTCCAACCAATACCATGGGTTATTGTCCAACTGATGCAATCAAAATGGAAGTTTGATCCATACGGGTGAATGCGTCACGGGCCTGGTCCATATATGCAAGTGGGTGCTGCTGGTAATAATCGTATAGCCACTTGCGCTGAAATTCTGTTAATATCTTGTCCGCCATACGTTCTCGATTTAACATCCTGTGTCTTCATGCACATGAATCCAATTCCCGATAATTTGATGTCCTAGTCATAAACACGAGCTAACTCTTTTCTTGTGTATCCAAAGTTGTAGTAACCGTAAAGACAGTGTAAAACCGTGTTAGGGTGTGCGTGTTGGGTTGTGACCTCTTACGTCGATGGCTCTGTGACGATAGGTAGCTCTAAATTCCACGAGCAGCTTTATTCTGATGAAGTATGGTGTCCAGGTAGTCATGGCGATATAAAGATCTCGCGGGGTGTTGTTCTGAGCGATGCACCAAATGGTCGCGAACAGACTCGACTTTGGAAACTTGGCTGAAAACGACAATATGTCGGTTGAAACAATAGCTCAAAATAAGTTTGCTATGTCGCATCTCATACTTGGGTATGTAAGGATCGTTTTGTTGGACGCGGCCTAAATATCGCTCAATTTTGAACGGCGTTTTGGTGTTCTACCAGTGATAGATTATCACACTACGCCTTTTCAGCTTCAAAATGGCAGATTACAAGTTCAATATGTCAAAGTGTAAGTTCAAAGGGTCACAAGTCAATATAAACGACACTTACTATGGAGCAAGTTCAGCATGTGAATTAATGGTGTACGGGGGTACCAAGATACCTAAACCCGATCAGTATATTGGTTTTATCGGTTAGCAACATTTTTAAACTTACTTTTTTTACATATTGAACTAGCATTTTGCTATTTAGAAGTTGAGAATGTGTAATGTGTTTTTTTAATGTACCCTCAGAAATCTATTACTCTATGTTATGATATACAGTGATGCTATCACTACTGAGAGAAACATCGGTTTTTGATGGTGCGTTATGAATAGCTGCACAAGCTTCAAAGCCGAAGATACCGCCAGCCGGCGTGTTTTGTTTCCCATCGACACCAGCTCGGCCCGATGGATACATGCAGATAAGAGAACCGATTGCGTCGTGATTCCGGTTTCGGGATCACTCCGCAATCTGCTCTCGTCTCTCCACACAACTGGCCAACAAGTAGAATGCGCTTGCTTCGTCTTCTACATGTATTGGCCATTGTGGTCACTCTGGCTTCCCTCAGCACTGGTAATGCACTCACAGCGAACGATGACGACGCCACTTTAGAGGAAAGAAAAGGAGGGGGTGGTGGAGGAGGAGGACACGGTGGAGGTGGCGGTGGAGGGCATGGCGGAGGTGGAGGTGGTGGTGGAGGCCATGGCGTAGGAGGAGGACATGGAGTCTCAGGTGGCCATGCAACTACAACGGGTGGAGGGGATGGTGTTACAACAACGGGAGGCGGCGGAGGGGACGCAGTTACAACAACGGGAGGCGGAGGAGGAGGGCACGTGTATCCATACGGCGGAACCTACACAAGCACTGGTATCATGAATACGAACGGCGTCACGCATCACGAGGAGAAAGAATGCAATCGATTTTTTAACTGGTGGCAGCGGCTTTTCGATAGCAGCGTCGAGAAGTGCCCGAAAAAGAAAAAAGAAGAAGAAGAAGACTGGCGTCGACTTCGAGCTTAAGACGTGAAGTCATTGATAGCACTTCATTGGCGATTCTTTGCTGGTTAGAATCCATACCCCTCTTGTCGTTCCGCTCATTGTAGTTTTCCTGCGCAAGATTAACTAAAGAGTGGAAGTATCTCTAACGCATCTTGCAATAGCCTAAACGAAGACTAGTAGGTTGCTGTTGTACTGCATGTAGTACGATAATCATCTCAGATTCTTCGAAATATCAATGAACAGATTGCGCTAATTGGAGTCGAATTTCGGCAATGTACCAAGCCTATAGGTTCTCTCACGAAAGCGAAACAATGGGAACCATTCCAATATGTACCCCACACAAAATTTGACTTGTAAAAAATCCCCCTCGTACCTAAAGTTTTATTTTCAAGATACCAGTACTTCGCTAATAGTTGGGGACCCTGCTCGATAACAACGAGCTTGTCTTCTTGGTTCAGTTACTATTTCATTCACATTATGTCGCGACGGTAAAGAACTATACTTTGCAATGAGTAGTTGGGTTAATCGAACGTGGCTGAGTCAATAGAGGTCAATAGAGTCAGTATCAATAGTTTTGTCGAGTGTGCTAAGACTAAAGCGGTGTTATCCACTTATGTAGAACACATTCAGTATTGTGCATCAAGAAGCATTTGGGAAGTATCTCTGTTAGGTCGAGCAGCGATTCGGGTGACTCCTTACTTTTGATTTCCCACGAGTGATCAAAGTAATAAGCAATGGCTCCAGTACAACGATGGATTGAGGAGTTATACCGTGACTCTCTGTTCATTTGACGATTAACCTCGAAGACGACGCCACTCTTCTTCTTCGTCTCGCTTGGGGCACTTCTTGACGTTCTTGTTAAAGAGCCGCTTCCACCAGTTCGTAAAGCGATCGCATTCCTCGTAACGCGTGACGCCGTTCGTGTTCCATAGTCCAATGCTTGGGTTTCCCCCTCCTCCATAGTAAGTCGTCCCTCTCGCTCTCCCTCGTCCGCCCCCGACCACCACCACCACCCCGACCGCCTCTTCTCTCCTCATCTGTGTCTTCATCTGCCAATTCGCGAGTGTCCGTGCGTACTGGGTCGTGGATCAAGTTAGACTCGTCCGCGGTTGGCTCCGCGATCGCGTGTGCGGCCGTAGCACCATTGCTGGCCCCTAGCAGGACGATCACGATTAGCAGTACAAGACGGATAAGGCGCCAATTAGTCGAAGCGACCATCCTGACGACCTTGACGTGAATTGCAGAATGATCCGGGATGTTAGCCAACAAACCTCGTCTAGAGTTACTCTGTCATCGCCATGGAGGCCCAGGACTCTTGGGATCAATATGGGAGGACAAAACCGGCTGTATATCTTCGGATTTGAAGTTTACGGTACATGTATATTTAACGTTTACGATGTGCTTGAACGACTAGCTCGCATTAGTTTTGGTGAGTACAAATGCTTAGTATCAAGGTTTATTGGATCTGATCTGAGATAACTCGATCGAGATTAGCCGTGTAAGTGCAGCGAGAAACAACGTATATAAGCCAATAGAAAAGGACTGAAATCTTTCGGGCGACAGTACCAACAAGCGTACTACATTTCCTAGTCCACACAACAATACGGGCGTTATCATATCAAAGTTAACATCGACTTAGTGATTTAGCTATTACTTCTGTTGTTGCCTGCTATGTCCCGTCATATTTAAGTCGCATTATCCAGATCTGTGGCGTAATGCCGCACAGCACAGTCGCCAAAACTATAATCACTTTATCGCGTGGGATGACAACTTCGATTTGCGAAAGTTGTAAGTCCAACAACTTAGAACGACAAGTTCGCAATAATTTGGACGCGTTAAGCATCTGAACATCCGGAATGTTTCTACCGAATTATGCTTACCATCCTCTGCTGAGTCGTATCCCAAATACATGTACTGTCCGGAGGAAACACTACCATTTCTGGATCAAATTGAGAATTTCCCAGATCAAACTAGAATCAAAACGAGAAATGCTATTATAGAGAAATGCGAATGCCCCGTCTAATCGTTTCAGGGGGTGAGATTTGAGGCACCTGCACATATTATTAAATAGCAGAGGTGATGGGATGATAAAAGCATAATGTATTGAAGGTTTCCTCGTTTTGATTTTGTTTTGATCTGGGAAATTCTCAATTTGATCCAGAAATGATGTATCTAGAGCTGTACCATTACAAGGGTGTCATCGATTTTACGGCTACACTGCTGACCTGCAAGGTCGATTACAGGGGACGACCACAGTCTGCAGCTCATGCTGACGAGTTAAGTGTGCCGCCTCGAGCAATGGACGAGTTTTAGACACGGTTTTGTGCGGAGTTGAATCGCAAGCGGGGCTGGAAGAATCAAATGTCGTTTCAGAAATGGCTCACAAAACGGATACTATGTTTAGTAAGTTACCCCTTGAAAGTAATAATTATTGACTTTGTATCACTATGTACTCTCTGGAGATTAGAGTTAATTTTGCCTTGGCCTTGTATGCTGACGGTCAGACCTCTCCAACCTCCTTACCTAGGGGGGTCACTACATGTACTATACAGTGGTTTCCCACGGTACCACTATTAATGCAAAAGGGATTGTCTGCATTTACTTATACTTCCTCTCGTTGGTAATAATTGCAACAGTATCCCTAATCAAGAACGTGGTTTTTCTTACAGACTCGCTTTAGAAGCGCTGATTGGCGGATTCGTCGCGGTGTGATCTCCTCTTTCCAACGCTGGTTTACGCACGAAAAACACTGTTATCGACGGAAATGTACC